TGTGTGTGTGTGTATGTGTGTGTGTGTGAGAGAGAGAGAGAGAGAGAGAGAGAGAGAGAGAGAGAGAGAGAGAGAGAGATTTATGGGGGAAGAGAGGTCCATGCATCAAGTTCAGCACATGTCAATATCAACACTCGAGTGTGTCTCTCGCCATGTCACGCACACACACACACACACACACACACACACACACACACACACACACACACACAGAGAGAGAGAGGCCCAAGGGCTGTAATTGTATACATAAGGCACCTCTGCTTTCTTAGAGGGAATAAGATGAAGTCCTATCCACCGTGAGATCCGCGGCGTGCTCTACCAGGCTCTTCCCTTCTGGTGGCCAAAATAATACTATATTTTAATTCTTCCTGGATTTGGTATTATCAGTCGTGTGGTTTCTAATTTTTCCAGAAGCCTGTGTTTCAGATGGCATAAATAAGTCTAGTGGGTAGTTGTTAATAAATGCATCCTTTATTTATCTTTGAAAGGTAGTTGTTGATAAATGCATCTTTTATTTATCTTTGAAAGGTTCATTGTCTCGAGTCCTGGTCTTAGTGTCCCATTTGTTCCCAGTCCCTAAGTCCCAGTTGGTCCCAGTCCCTCCGGTTCTGGTAGATCCCAGTCCCTCGGTTCCTAGAGGTCTGTAGGAGTCGGGTAGGGTTCGATAGTCGAAGGAGTCGTAGGTCAGTAGAAGTAAGGACGGTACCCACAAAGTCCCAAGTCCAATTATGCAGCAGCATCCTGGGAAAGTCCGGTGACTTCCGGAACTACGAATTGCAATGGACAGGCGGCGGGTCCAATAGTCGAAGGAGTCGTTGATTAGTAGAAGTCAGGCCGGTACCTGCAAAGTCCCAAAGTCCAACTATGCAGCAGCATCCTGGGAAAAAGTCAGGTGACTTCCGGAACTAGCAATTGCAGCGGACAGGCCGCAGAGGCCGTTACCTGTCTAAAGCAGATAAAGGAACACCAAGTACTGCTATTTATAGATGCTACAGTACCTGTTCAGGTTACTTGCCATTTCGCATGATGCGGAAGTTGTGCTGTAGTGCTTGTGCGACACAACGAGTCGGACAGTCAAGGCGATTGAGGGAGAAGGAGGGTGATCAGCGCCATAGCTAGGGTTGTGGGGAAGGAAGATGGCGTTCGTAGTTGTAGAGCTAGGCAGGAGAGAGAGCGAGTGAGTGAGGAGGCGAATGTATTCAGGGAGAGAGAGAGTGGGCAATCCAATGTTGGAGTGTGAGAGAGAAAAGGAGAGACACAGCGAGTAGTGAGGTTGAGCTTCTGAAACGAGAGAGAGAGAGAGAGAGAGAGAGAGAGAGAGAGAGAGTTTAGGGAATGTTCAGAGAGAAAGGGAGAGGAGTAGCGAGATTACCTGTGTCATGGTCGGCCATAGCGGCCATAACGGCTGGTATAATGAGTTCGAATTCTGTTTAGTACCAAGTATTTGAAGTATCGGCATCTCAGTGTGGGCTCTACTTGCAATTTCTTTGTAGTATTATGGTAACCGCGGACACGAACATCAGACCGATCCAAACAGAAAACCAGACATACGTCTGGATAGATCAATATATCCAGACAGTACTGGACCCGGACTGTCCAAATGGGGGGACCCAAAAAATGTTCGGATTGGAATTAAATTTCTTTTAAAAGGACACTTAGGACAGAGGAAAAACACTGCAGACCAAGCACACTTGAGATGCGAACTGTAGGTAACAACACTTACCTTGTTAGAGGTACACACTGCCACATAGTACACAGTGTTACGCACGCATGGAGGTAACAACACGTCACCTGCCTATCACTGCTCAGAACTTAACAGCTTCATACTGTGAAAGTCGTCCAAAAAGGCTCACAAAGCACTTCAAATCAGTTCATGACAGACCAGCTCTTGGCGGGATCTGTTGGCATTCGGTAGGCCGTGAAACGGCCGAAAAAATAGCAGGCCTATTTTGGGGGGGCGGCCGAGGACCCAAAAAAAGTCCAAGGTGGCTGATTTTTTGTTTTCGGATTTCCTTTTTTGGGGCCCCAATCCTGACCTACCGGAACGGCCTCTGGACCTAGACAGTCGGACCATCTGGATCCCGGTCCAGACGTTTGGGCAGTTACCATGGTTTGGATGAATGTCTTGTGGGTTCTCTGTCTGATGCAAGTTGGGAATCTGGGATGAAATCGATTTGGTTCATTGCACTGGTATTACAGTAATTTTCCGTTACACGCAAGATGAAGAGTGACGTCGACATTGACTGAGGTCGGCAGGAGGCGAATTTGGGTCGACTGCCAGGAGGGGCGGGTCGGTGGGAGAAGAGGCAAAGGAAGTGGGTATTGACGAGGAGCATGTACCTGCAGGAGTAGCAAGTGGCGAGGAGCGTCAACAAGCGAAAACTTGTAGGAAGTGTTTCGTCCCCCTGACCTTGTCCTTTGTGATTTGCTGTGTTTTGAATGTGGCGGTACTTTCCTTGGATGCATATGCTGCTGATCATGGATTATAACTTGACTCCGCTCGTGAGCCCGTTGAGTCCCCATTTTGAGTCTCTTGAGTTTGTTGAGTATGCTTTTGAGTCACTTGAGTCTGTCTAGGTTAGGGTAGAGGTTTGGCAGCTGGACAGTGACCACGTAAAGTAGGAAGCACGGGCATGAGCGGCGGGCGCACGTAAAACAACCTTGCTAGCCCAATGACCGGTATTGACAGGCGTGCGATCGTGCGACAGAGTGAGGGGTCTTTAAGTATTGTTGGAGACCGTAATTTATCCAGTGACTCGCACCATCCTGATTGGGGTGTAAAAAGAATTCCTGAGGACAATTGCTGCCAGTCCTTAAATCGTTGGTCGGCTCATTCTTGTTCGGAATCCGTAGTGACAGTCAAGAACGGGCAGTAGAAAACAGTCAAGCCTTAGTGACAGGAGTAAGTGTTGAGGTAAGGTCGAAGTGGTGAGGAGGTGGAGTAGGATACTGACATGTTCCACTGTCAATTACAATGGACAACTACCCAATGTTTGCTTCCCTGGCTCTATCCATGATTTGGTAGCCCCTGCTGAAGATGATCTTCTCGATAGGCTTCCGTAGGACCTGCCACATGCATACGATGGACCTGAAGGGGGGGAAACATGTCCTAACACCAAGGGATTCAGTGTATGCCTCAGCGATCAGGGTGGGGGCTCCTCTTCCTGACTGATCAACAGAATCAAGCGATCAGGAGCAACAGATGTGGAGTTGAAGAAAGAAGAAAGAAAAAAATTGAAACAAAAAGAAAAAAGAAAAGAAAGAAAAAAAGTACAAATTTCTGAAGAAAAGAAAAAGAAAACAAGAAAAAATAAAGAATAAAATAAAAGAATATGTTGAACCTTGTAGTGACAGTGGCAATTGGTTTATCTGTGGGATGTGTCATTTGCTTTCTTCCCTTGTCTTTTCTTTGATTGGATCCCTTTCTCTTTCTCTTGCCTCTGTGAGGTCTGGTTTCCTCCTCCTTTTTCTTACCTCTTTGCATTTTGGCTGCGTGCAAGTGGGTCCTTGTGACACACGGGGATGGGGGCAGCCAGCGCTCAACCTGTCATCCACGTGGCTGGCCTCATACGTAAGAGGTGATGAACAGGTGGGGCTTTCCTTCCTTCCTTCTTTTCCTTTCCTTGTTTTGCTTTTTTTGAATTTTTTTCGCCTCCTCGCTCTGATTCACAGTGTGACAATATATATATGTACGTTGACCATCTCTTCGAACTGTCGGAAAGCTGTGGTTGTGTCTTAATCGATTGGAGTGCCCCCCCATGGTCAGACCTAGCTAAGAACTGTCTACCATCATACCATGAAGATAGAGCATCCAACATTTAGAAGCAGCGAACAGAGCATACAACTCCCTCACATAGGATGATCCATTTATCTTCCCTGATGGCATCATGTACATCCCGTACACCTTTGCTTGCGTTGCACGGACATTGATGAGAGCAATTTTCATGGCAACCATGATGTTTCCTTGCATCAGCAAACTGTCCACACAGTCTTCTATGTTGGGGACCACTTGTCTGCGCCTGTGCCGCAGCAAGGCAACGAGTCAACACTTAGCGACCTTCTCCTCAGCAGGGCTATAGAGATTTTGTTATATACTCGGCTGCAGGCGTCATCCTAAGATTGCCTGCTTCTGCATCTGGGCAGTCTGTTGCGCAAGGCGCGAGGTTGCACCAAATCCCCTTCTGAAACATTGGCAGAAGACATGCGTACCATACCGATTATTTAATAACTCGTTATAGTATTGTAGTTTTACGCGGCAGTACGAATGTCATTTTGATCTGGAATGGATTGTGCGGATGTTTTTTCATGCAGGGGTGGTAGAAAAGCAGCAGTAGCGAGGCAAGAAGACAGCAGGCACTAGTTGTGCAAGGAGGGAGTGGAGGGCGGGAACCAGCCAATGCGGAATGTGGGTTTGCGATGGCCAGCAACGGGCAAAGGGAAAAGGGATTTGAACCCTCAACCTCCGCAGCAGTGTGCTCCGGTGCAAACAGCAGGGTTCAAAATGTTATTGAATCCTGGGGTGCCTTGTCAATGATCGTTGAGGCAAAGGAGGGAGGAGGACATGGACATGGATACGAACAGAAAGATGGAGAATATGAAAGGGAAGAGGACAAGAGACAATGTGGAAAGGAGGAGCAAGCAATAAGCAGGGATGGAGTGACTGCCAGTGATTCCAGTTCTTTCTCAAGGGATGTCTCTGGACTGAGCAAATATGCAGGCTCAGCATTTGCCTCATGCCCACAGCAGCAGCTTCATGCTTACAACACTGCTCAGCAGCATTTGCGGGTTGGGGATCTTTGCCACATCCATGAGGGATCCAATTCATGCCATGAACCAGTAACGGCGAAGGATGATCAGCCTACCCTAGACCGCATTTTGCTTAACCAACATGAGATGCATGCTAGCCAGCCACGATCACCACAGCCAAAGCGTTGCCGACGCGCAAGTGATCAGTCCTTGCCGGCGAGGAATGGGCCTGTGGCGACTGATTCCTTGACGACACAGGCTGGATTGGTGGAAGAGGGAAGGGCAGATGAAAGGGAAATTAGTAGAGGGAATGAGAGGAGGGAGGTGGGCCCAGAAACAACTGCGGTGGTGTCCATGGTGGAAGCGGTAGCAGGCAACAAAGACAACGGGTGGGATAACGGCAACGTGGGTTTTGTGAATGCTTGGGATGCTAAGCAAAGGATGAACTGCCCTAAGGCTGGTGAAGAGGAGATGGGCAAAGGAGCAACGAAGGACAATATTTATGAAAATAAAAGTGCAGCACGTGGTTCTGGATCAGGTAACAGAGATGAAAGCGATGCAGTAGACATGTCGACCGTTGACGACAAGGGCACTGGATATGGCGGGAGCAACGAGGTGCAGTGGACAGCAGAAATGACTGCTACTGTGGACGGCACTGCCACATCTGCCATCAGACCAGAAGTGGGACTGGTCTCCTGGAAAGGTCATGGAGACAGAAGTAAGGCCCTAACTCGTGCCAGCGCCCCGTGCCCTGCTGTGGGGAGCAAGCGTGCCTACATGAGAAGAGGTACAAACTCAGATATGCATGACAGATCCACGAAAAATTCTAAGTTCTTGAACGCAAAGGCCCAAAGGGGTAGGAAGGAGGGGAGTGCAAAGATGGCAGAACAGGTGGATCGCCGAAGGGCAGCAGCGGCGGCGGAGGGGGAGTCCGGGCAGGTTTCCTCAGGGTCGGGACTGGGCATGGGATCGGGGTTGAAACCAAATGGGAGAAAGGTCTGCACTGGTCGTGGAGGTGCTTGTTTGGCAGCATTACGTGTGCATGCAACAGGTGGTGGGTTGGGAATGGTGGTTGGTGTCAGCCTGCAGCAACTCTCAAGGTCGTCGCAGAGAAATGTGGGGTTGGCAACCAGGCACTTCGGACATGGGTCGCCAAATCGTACAGTCAAACAGACAAAGAAGAAACTGGCAGCGTCCTCATCACCACCACAGCCATTGGCAGCAGCCTCGGCACCAAAGAGGCAGGGTCTGAATAGCATTGAAGGTAAAAAAGGAGTTCGCAAGACGTCCTCGGTCAGGCAGGGATGGCGCCGGGAATCCGCTCAAAGGGTGCTGAAGAAAAGGATAGCGATGCAGGTAGGGAGAGAGGAGAAAAGACGTAGGGGCGGTGGTCTTCTGAGGAATCAGGTTGGGCATGGGCGTGAAAGCTCAAGTGGAGGCACCAGTCCAAGCCCGAATTTGAGTAAAAATTCGGATGATGATGATGATGAGGAGGAGGAGGACGAGGAGGACGAGGAGGACGAGGAGGAAGAATACAACGATGATGACAACTATGAGGAGGAGGACGAGGAAGATGAGGAGGAGGAGGAGGAAGAGGAGTGCCCTGGGAAGCGGCTTGCTTGGGCTGTGCGCAAGCGGAACAATCATGATAGCAGTGGGAAGGCTGAGGTGGCAACATCTGCGGAGCAACACCTGGATCGGCGAGACCTTGGTCGGGGGGGGTTGGTAAATGCCACTCATTGTGGTGAGAAGGTGGGCCGCAGGAACCGTGCTGAAGAACCTGTCGGAACGAAGCCTGGAAGTGCACGGGTTTGTGTGGAGTGCGGGACTATGAAAACTCCTCTGTGGCGCAACGGTCCTCGAGGACCAAAGGTGAGTACTTACTTCTGTTCTGTTCAACTGATTGCATTTGGGTTCGAACCTGGGTCTTCATTTCAACAGTTTGTAGTTTATGGGTGTACCAACTGACCTAGAGTATTTTACTATTTCTTCCTACTCCAGCCACTGATTTATGCATCCCACTTCCCTACTTATCAGACAAACCTATGCACACTCGCTCGCATTCATGGTGATCTCACAGTTGACCTCCACTCGCTCTCCGATGAGTTGCTCAACATTTGGCACCGCATGTTCAGTGCGCATCCATGCTTTCAAATGAGCGAGCTACGCTGAGTATTTTATGTTTGACACGAAGCCAGTGTTTTTTAAATGTGTTCTTTTTTCATCAGTTCACAGTTGTGTGTGTCTTGGTATCTGGAGAATTATGTGGTTATCGGAGACATTTGCATGCACATTTTTTTGCCCGACATTTCTGGATCACTGCCTTGCTCTTGGGATACCAGGGTGACAAAGACCCTGGAGGTAAATGTCGGTGTTATAGGCGCCGATGAGCTGAAGTCCCAAGATTAGAGATAATGCCCGTGCTCTACGGTCCCTGATCACGAAAGGAAAATGTTGAACTCACCTTTTAGTCCTGAATGACCCCAGTCTGGCTGAGAGAGCTGATCTCACTACTGTCTCGATGCAGTGAGGGCAGGCTTTTTTTTGTGGGAAAAAAAAAAAAGAGGGCAGGCTTTTTGAAGAACTGCGATTGGGAAAAAAAAAAAAAAAAAAAAAAAAAAGAACCTGCATTTTGCACAAGACATACAAACGTCCACCTTATTAAACCACCAGTACTTCCTAAAGTTGTGCCTGTTAACAAGCCACAATTATAGGAAACGTACCGGCCACTACAGGAGCGCCCAAATTCATCCGACTAGAAACGTTTCTGCTCTATTTTTTTCCCGCGGGCGATAGCTGGGCCAAGTACTGGTGGTTTAAGTGATAACTGCCATTTCGTGAAAAAATGATGCATTTTTTAAAAAAAATTTTACTTGCACGAAATTAAATGTCCCCTTTTTCCCTGTTTTTTTTATGTATTTTTTGAACCCATACCAGAGTAACAAAAATTAAACGTCCCAATTTTCCCAAATTTCCCAATTCTTTGAATACACCTAGAAATCACAAATACACTGCCCAGGCAAACTTGAGAATTGAAAATGTCATTCCAAAAAATTTGGATGAACAATGCGTTCGGGATCAAAGGGAAGATGATAGTAGCCATACCAAGTGAAGTGGTGAGGGAGAGTGAGCTAAAGGAGAGAGCCCTTTCTCCAAGGGGGATCATTTTGGCATCGATTCTTGTTCATTCATTAATTAGTAATTATTATTGTAATTCATTTCTAATAATCAAAAGGTGGAGGTGATCATGTGAGGAAGATGATGGTGGCGAGAAAAGAAGGGAGGCGGCATCGGTTCCAGCTTTTTCTTCTTCTTATACTACTACTACTACTACTACTACTACTACTACCACTACTACTACTACTACTACCACTACTACTACTACTACTACTACTACTACTACTACTACTGCTACTGCTACTACTACCACTTTGTCTGTCCTTCTGTCATTCTTCTACTTGAGTCGCGATTTACGACATTGTCCCAAACTTTTAGTTTTGGAACATGAAATGATGGACAGCATCATAGTAATTTGGTATAACAGCTTGACCTTACATGCTGGCAACAGGTGATCAAGCTCCTTAACCCTGGTAGTCAGAGGTGATTAGAGTGAAATAATCTCGAGTGAGTTGAAGTAGGGGGGTTGGGGGTGTTGGATCCCACGCTACAGAGTCAAGCCCTCTCCTTGCAATGGGTCAGGAAATTGATATTTTCTACTGATCCGCCTTGGCAAGTTCTATCCCTTGAGCAAATCAAAAGATTAGCCCCTCCAACCTCTGAGGATATACACCCACTCACTTGGTTTGAGGATTGTTACTGGAGCATCCCCAGAGCGCAATCTCAGTCTAAGGAGGAGGAGGGATCTAGAGGAGATGCTGAAAAAGATTTGTTTTTGGATAATTTGTGGGTGACTTTGTTGCATATTTGGAGGCAGTCGCCATTACCAAATAAACCTTTTCCTACTTGCTAAGTTGCTACGAGGAAGTATTGCATCAACCCCTTTTTGGGAACCTTTTGATTACTGACAACAACGGTCGTATTTTTAATAGCTTTGTCCCACCTTGGTCCTTATGGGTAAAAAGGGGTTTGTTCACTGTGTTGCGTATTAAGGATCTATGGGATACAGCAAAAAGGGATTGGAAGTCTGAGGATCAATTGAGGAGGGAGTTGAGGTATGCTCATAAACTTTCTGGATATCTAGAGCAGATTATTTTTTCGATTCCTTTAGCTTGGGTACGGATTTTGAGGAAAGGTGTTATTTTCTGTGAAGGGGATTGGGTGTTAGGATTTCAGCCTGATAATCACAAGAAGATTGGTCAAGTAGGTTCCTTGTTACCAGATGGAGCTTTGGTCAGTCTTCTCGTGATTAACAGAGATCATTTTATTTCAGTCCCCTCCGAAGATAAGGTGATGTTCTTTCCTTTCAAGTATCTGTATAGGATCAGAGTTCTCCATGTCTCCTCCATTCAAGGATGGAGGTTTTTCCATGCTGAAATTCCTATACCACAACTCCCCATCGACCCAACAGAATAGGTATGGCAGACCAGCAGTGGAGGAAAGTCACGATTCCTATACGACCTTTATGTCAAGGCAGCTTACCGGTTGTTTAGGCCAAGAGTAGATATTACTGCTATTTTACAAGACAAGAAATGTGGGCTAGACATCTGAACATTGATATGAATTTATATTAAACATATAATTTTTTTTAAAGAAATTAAACAACGGCCAGCCAGATTCGCCTCATTGCGATGGCAGATTGCTCATCGTTGCTGATTGATCGTTCTACGTTGGAACAAAGAGGACTGGCTCACCCCTGGTGTAAGTCTTGTCTCTAGGCCTTTCCTAGCAAGAAATTTCGAGAGACAATTGAACACATATTTATGCAATTTGCGGGGTCGGTGTTGTTATGGAGGAGGTGGGATAGTGTTTGGAGGTCCTTGACGGGGTTAGAATGGCCCTGGGACTGGAGGGCCATTTTGCTGGGCCATTGGGAACCCCTCTTGGTGTCCAACTTTCTAACTTCCAACAAAACTTATTTTTCATTGGCTGTAAGGCAATCCTTTGGACACTGTGGTATAAACGCTGTGTGAGGGAGAAGGAAGATGTGAATTTGGAAGGCATGGAGATAACGGATCTAATTGTCAATTTTGTTCAGATAGAAATTCGGGCACAGTGGAGCAAGCTCACATTACAATTATACAAATTTCAACAGAAAAAAGACGTACAGCAGGCAGTTCGTCAATTTGTTCAGGACTGGCTGGGGGGAACTGCAGGAGAGGGTTTGGGTGAGGTGAAATGGCCAGGGGAGGGAGGATCCAGAAGTCTGATCAAACGAGACTTCCAGCTCATCTTTCGAGAATGGTTCACACCGCAACCAGGCGTTATCCTCAGATCTCCACAATGTTTCCCAGATCCCTTCCCTCCATCTGAGCTAGCTTTGGTTGGCATGAATTGGTTTGGAGTGGGAGAGGAGGAGTAATTTGTATTTCTGATGTCTTTCAGGAAAGGAAAGCTAGCTCGGATAATTAGTATTTTCATTCCATGCCTTCACTGGTGGTTATGGGTAGATCTACTAGAAGGATAGGTTTATATGGCGGCTCAATCGGGCTGAAGAGGCAGGTTTCTACTTTCATCTCACAATGTCCTGTTTTGAATAATCATGTAAGGGACGCTGGACCCGTTTTCCAGCAGGTGTTGCTCCCCACCAATAGATGGAGCCTGCCCAGGGGGTGCTAGAGGTGTCTGCTCCTATCAGCACTCCTAGCATTACCCAAGGGAATTAAAAAAAAAAAAAAAAAAAAAAAAAAAGGTCGGCAAGATGATTGATAGCTGCCCCAACCCTAAAAGCCGGGTTGGAATGTGAGTGCTCGAGGCCAGATTAGGGTGGTGAGATCAAGGGTGGGTAGAGTCTGAGCTTCATAGGCAAAATGTCGTTGTAAGATTTGGTCATCGTATCCATTGATATGATCTAACCAATATATAATTAATCAATCTAATTCATATATATTTCAATTAATAATATTAATATAAATAATATAATATTTTATATTTTTTTAAATTAATGAATTATATTGTCTACAATCTATTTATATTTTCTACAATATATATTCTATTTACTGTCTTTTATAATTATAAAAATCTGTCTAGAGTCAAATAGATTGAGAATCATATACAAATTAAATATAGATAAAAATACGAGATAAACCCCCATTCCTGCGGAGGAAGGAAGCTGTACTCTACTAAGAGTGTGACGTGTGGTACGACTGAGAGATGGTTAATGGAAGGCCCAAAATATGGCAGTTTTGCAGTGGTTCGGTGAAAATTTCAGGGAACTTTGGCAGTTTCGGTGAAAAAAATGCCAAAAATGACACCACCTATTAACCAGTAGTGTGGGAGGATTGCCGAGCTAATTTTGACTTTCTGGTTACTCGCTACGTGTAGGATTGGCTTTTGTTTTTGTAGATCAGGCACCATTATCTGGCTTTCCCTCCATTTGAGCGAATAGCTGCGCGAACAAGGAGTATTCCGTTTTCCTTCCTTCGTTCTTACCACTCGTTGAACTCTACCGTCTTCACCCGAATAGAACGCCCTGTCATTATAGCTGTATTTGGGGCAACCTTCAGTCCAGATGCAGCGATAATGACCGGGCGCTCTATTCGGGTGAAGACGGTATTGTGGGGGAAAGTCCAGGAGAGAGAAAAGTCTAAAGAGAGATGGATAAAAGCTGAGGATAATGAAGCTGAGGGTACTGTGCCCGTAGATATCGAAGCTGAGGGTAATCATGAGGGACTCTACGGCAAGTTCCTATGGGCGGAGATAAGAAGCGAATCCACTACCCTTCTTCCCCCGAATACAACATACGGTCATTATAG